AAAATAGTCATATATAAGAAATGAACATATACATAGTTGTAAATGAACATTTGAAACTACAAAGTTGCAAATTTTCTAGCTTTCCTTCTATTTGCTCTTGATTCAGTGTTTTCTTCAAATAACATCAGTTCTGCTGTGTATTGGAGCCTTAGATTTCTAATTTGTTCCACCTGTTGAACAAAATGAATTGTCAAATTTTAATTAAACAATCTTTACTGTTTCATAAATGAATATTATATCTTAAATAATTGATCATTTATAACTCTTACATTGTTTGGTTTTAAATCACAAATCCAGCTCTCATTAGGATCAGCAGTGAAGGTTTCCATATGCTTCATAATGTAAACTCCACAGTTTGTATAGTCATTGTTGCTACGCCATTTCATCTTTTCCAAAACAACTGTGTAGTCTTCAATTCTTTTTGCATCTTGATATCCAAGGTGTTTCATGTACTCTGCCAATCCTTTTAACTGATAGAAAAAAGAGTAAAAATTGTTTAGAAGTTTGTATTGTGATGAAGACATGAACAATTAATAAAATATAATTGATCATGTAGTCAACTATAAATGAACATATTATCTCACCATCATTTTTGGTTGTTCTTCATATTTTGCTTGGACTGATACCTTTTTTGGTAGTTTTCTATTGTCAATTATATGAATTTTGTCTTCTATATGATTGACGCACAACAGAAAAAAATGTTGAGAAGTTGATACTGGGAAGAAGACCTGAACAAATTATATAATGTTATTGGACAATATATTGAAGGTAATTGAACATTTGTATTAAACAAGAATTAATACCTGTTTATATCCAACAATGCTGTCAATTTTATTCAACTTCAGTTCATTGTCAATTCTTTCTATGAAGGCATTAATTCTTGTCTTCATTGATGATCCTTCTTGACAAACTTTATTTGTGCACATAATGTGCTGTTGAAATACAAACAAACATATAGAAGTTAAATGAATTTTTAGCAATTATTTATCATAGGAAAATAGAATCAATAATATAAAAAAAGAAGAAAGACTAACATGAAGCACTGTTGAGAAATAAATCTTGTTTCTCGGCTTTTTATGATTAAGAAACCTTGCCCATCCATCTATGACACAATTTGTCACTTCAACATCATCTCCAAGAGTTTTCATTTCATTTCTATTGATGAGATTCAAGCCATCATAGTATAAGAGTGCACTGCATTATGAACATTTAATAATATGAATGTGAACATATTTTTATAAAAGATATTAAACCTTAAGTTTAATTAGTGTAAGTAATTACCTTTCATCTTTTCCACCAAGAGCAAAGTCTACTGCAATTTGGTTCATGGCTTTCTCATCTTTAAACAGATCCTTGTACTTGACCAAGTAAGGAGATCGGAAAGCAGGAGGAAGTGTTTTCTTTTCGCGTTTTGGTCTTGTTGTTCAATATAAAATATTGTTAAATTAAGAAAATTATGAGGAACATAAATGAACATTTGAGTGTATATAAATAAATTTGAAATTATACCTTTCAACCTTTTCCTTTTCAGTTTTTTTCTTCTTTTCTGCAATTGACTTTTTCTTATCATCATTCCTGGTCATATTACATAACACAAATGTACATTTAGGTATATGAAAATGTTCATTATTATTTTTGAACATTTACTTAATATAAATAATGTACCTTTTTGTGACTTTTGAGGATGAAGCAACAATCTTCTTGTTTTCACTGAAAAGTGAAACAATGTCAGTACATATTAATAAAATAAAAGCTTCTTATGTAACACCCTGAATCATTTTCAATTCATAAAATGAAAGATATTGATTTAACATAAACCTATTGATTTAACATAAACCACACATTCATATTACATATTCAACAAAATAATGTTCACACATACAATAGTTTGAGAAACACCAGTTTCAAGTTACAACACGATAGTAACATAAGTTAAATTGTTCCATCTAGATATTTTATCCTACACCATTACATAACCCTAATAGTAAGACATGTCTTCAGGATTTTACCCCTCCACTTTTTCATCATTTTTTGTTTTTTCAAAAACATCTTCCTTGTTTTGTTTTCCACCTCCAACTGTGTTTTTTGGATCATCACTTTTTTCACCACCATCTGACCTAGGGTCAGCATCAACCACTGAACCAGATCCTGCATCTAAGAAAAAATTTAATTAGATATAATATAATTTCTTTGTAAATGAACATTTGAGTATTTATAATTGAACATTATACCTGTTCTAGGCAATCCTTCATTATCTGACCTAGTGTCAGCATCAAGTTTTGAACCAGTTGCTGCGTCTAACAAAATAATACAATTAATAATGAATATTTCTTGTTTGTAAATGAACATTTTACACTTTTTAATTGAACATTATACCAGTTCTAGAAAATTCTTCAATTCTTTGTTCTGAAGCTGCTGAAGTTTTACCCACATCCTTTTCTCCAGCTGTATTATAAATCATCATTTTGGAGATACACTAAGTTAATAGTATTTACACATAATAATTAGAAATGAACATTTCTACTTAAGTTTATGTACATTATTATTAAATATATGAACATATTACCATTTGTTGAAATTATTGGTTGTTCAATTATATCACCAAGTGTTGAAAAGGTGGGCCCTGTTTCTGTTTAGGACAATTTAGACCACAAATTTAGAATTTTTCATATAAAAATTAGGATATATAGTCTCTTTTAGTTAGAATTTACCAATGGCTGGAGAAGGTGGAGTCAACCCCAAGCTGAAAGCTTTTCTGATGTCATATTCTTGTTCTTTTTCCTTTCCCTTTTTGGTTAATTTCTTCCCAGTCATTTGCTTCTCAGTTGTTTGCTTTTCAGACCCTTGCATCAGATTCTTCTCAGCTTGTGCAAGTGCATTTAGGAAATCCTCACTGCCAAAGAATTCTTCATCTTGGCTTAGAATTGATGGTTCCCTAGCTACCACCTTTCCTAAAACTTCATCAACTTTTTTCACCAAGTCATTTCCAGGGAAGATATCCTTTGCCTTCACCAATTTTGAAGAAAGCTTTGACAGGTTTGAACAAGTTGTTTTTACCAGGGAAACAAAATCATCCATAAAAACCTATATGAATGAATATTAAAAATTATGCAGTTGAACATTTCAGATTATACAAATGAACATTTATGTTAACAAAAGTGATCATTTTATAACCTTAGGACTTTCTTCAACTTCTGCAGCAATCCTTGGTAGAATTTTCCCTCTCCCAAATCCCAATTCTAATTCAATCTTCAACCTCTCAAGAACCATGTCTCTATTCCATGCAGATATGATAGGAATTGTTCTTGGAGGCCTTTTGTCTAACCTCTGAACTCTATCAAAATAGAACAACTACAAGAAAAAAGAAAACATGGAACAGAACATAAACAATAAAAAAAAGTGCATTTATTTAAATTTAAATGAACATCTTGTATCTAAGAATATACCATCAGAAATTGAAGAGGGCCTTTGTAGAACCCCTTGCCTTGCTGCTTTCTCCAATCAACATGACATTTGATAAGTGAGTCATATACAAACTGACACCAGTTCAAATTTTTTATGTTTTCTTTGTCCATCATAGAATAAAGAAATTTGAAATGGCATTGATTGTTTGATACACATTTCATCAAGCAGTTCACAGCCACTGCTAAAAAGTTAGTAATGAAATGTTCACTTGGTGGTCTGTTGTTGGTGAATTTATCATTTATGTATCCATTCACAATCTGCAAACAAAATGAACAAAACATTTATACTTTTGATCATTTAATGTATTTAAAATGAACATTTAAAACTGATCATACCTGACTCACTGATGGAGTTTTTCCTGACCATGATTTTCTCCATTTCTTCAGAAATTCTGCATACTCCTCACTAATTTTATCAGACTTTGGCTCAACAATTGGAATTTCTCCTGTAGGCAAGCCATAAACTACCCTAACATCCTCTACCTCAATTTCTATTTTTTCATTCTTTGGTAGTTCAAAATACTGGCTATTTTCTTCAAAACTTCCCAATAACCAGTTACAGAACTTTTGATCAAGTTGAGGTAAACTAATGTCAAGAAGTGATCCTAACCCTATATCAATAATTTGTTGTTTTTGGGTAGGTGTCATCTTTTTTATCCATGCAATGAACTTCACATGTCCTCCTCTCTTTGAAGATTTCTCTTCCTCAAATTCATCTTCCTGAATTTCCTCAACTTCATCAGTTTCTATTGCTTGAACCATTTCAGTTTTCATTTTCTTTTTTCTCCTACCTTCAATCTTTCCTTCATCATACAGTACCATCTTTTGCTCCTCCTTTTCAACCTTTGCCTTCACTGAATTCCCTTTCTTTGCCTGTTTCTTCCTTGGCTTTACTTCTTCCTCTTCCTCCTCTTCCTCCACCTCATAATCATCCTCACTGACAGGCTCTTCTTCTGCTCTATAAACTGACTCTTCACTATCATCATCACTGTCAGGATCTTGAGAGGGTTCATCTGATGGTACTTCTTGTATTTTTTTTCTCTTTCCAGCATTTCTCTTGGCAGGACTGACATCTGAAAATTAAATATATAATTTTGTTTAAGTATTGAAAATGTACAGTAAGCAAATGATAAAATGAACAAAATTGTTTTCTCAAATGATCATTCTATATATAGAAATTGAACATTTATAATATATCATTATATACCTGCTTTTCTTTTGCCAGCAACCTTAGAAGTTTTCTTCACTTCTAGAGTTTTCTTTTTCCCACCTATATATTGAAATTGAACATTAATGATATACCATCATAAATGATCATTCTATACATTAAGATTGAACATTTACCCTTTTTGCCTTGGTCTGGAGGATATTCAGCAGGAGCACCTGCCATTTTTTTTTATTGGAGTAGGTGCTGGAGGTGGTGCATCAGCTTCCTTTTGAATAGGAAAATTCCTTGTAGACATTCTTCTCTTCTGTCCTATTTTTGCGGTTTCTTTAGCAGGCTCAACATCCTTCTTCAGGCTTCCCTTTTTAGATTCATCTAACAGAACATCTATTGTTTTTAAAAAAATTTATGTTAGTATATTTGAAAGTGTAATATTTATTGTGTAACAGAAAAGTATTATGATTACCTTGGCTCCTTGTAATTCTACCACTTGGCACAACAACAAGGCTTTTGTTTTTGTTTTTCCTTGCAACCATTTTGTATCTTGTTTTCATTTTGGTTGACTGATCACTTTTTTGTGATGATGGAGCTGTCTCCTCACTAAGTTTTGTGGAAACTTTATCATCATCTTGATCTAGAAGATAAGTTTCATCCTCAATTTGAACAAAATCAGGTGCAATTTGTGCTGCATATGAAATGATCAAATATAAAAGATTAAATAAACATTATTAAATTGGATGACAAAAGTTTACTATATACAATATAAATGAACATTTCAGGTAATGAATATGTACATTTTCCACTATTTACCTTTCGGATCTGTTGTCTTTGTAGACTCATCTTCCACTGTTTTCTCTTTAGGGATTTTCTCCTTTTCAGGCTCTTTTTTTCCCTCTTGTCCTTCTATGAAAATTTAATTAGTTAATATTTATATATTTTTTTAATCTTATTGAACATTCAATATTATGTAGATCCAATATGAACATTTTATGTAATAAAAATGTACATTTATAAATTTTTACCTTCTACATTTGTTGTCTTTGGAAAGACATCTTCCACAGTTTTGTCTTTAGGGCTTTTCTCTTTTTCAGTCCCTTTTTTTCCTTCTTGTACTTCTATTAAAATTTATTTAGTTAAAATTTAATTTTTTTAATCTTATTGAATATTTAATATTATGCTTTTCCAATATGAACATTTTTTGTAATAAAAATGTACATTTTAAAATTTTTACCTTTTTCCACAGTTTTCTCTTCTATTGGCCCTTTTTCTTTCTTTTTTGCTTCACCTTCAAAAGTAATAGTATTGTTAAAATTGATATTTATGACTATTAAACAAAAATATTCAATAAATATGATCATTTACCTTTCCTGATTTCCTTGCTTGCCTTTTCCATTCTTTTGAGATTTCTCATAATTCTGATTGTCGATTCTTTGTACTTTCTGTAAATGTATGATATTAACTTTGAAATATATTCATTAATTGATTAAATTAATTCAATTATTTAAATTTAAACATACTTTGGGTTTCTCTCTATGTCTAAATGTATTTCTTGCATCTTGTCCTTTAATGTTGTTATTCTTGAATCATCTTTGGGTTTTCTGATATTTCATTAAAAATATGTTTGAATTTACAATTTTGATTAGTAAATAAAAAAATGAACATATAACTTATATTACTATTGGCCATGAGCAAACTTTTTTGTACTGATTTTCAAATGAACATATAGTCTATCTAAATTGAACATTTAAGTTTTCTTACTTTTGGCCAAGACTATTCTTTACTGGATTGCTTTGCACTTTTGGTTGAACTTCTTCTTGCTTGCTGAAATCAATATTAAGAAATACTTTAAATAAAAAATGCACATAAATTGTACATAAAATATACTGTTATAAAAATGAACATTTGTTTATATAAAATTGATCATTAGTATACCTTTCATCCCTGCTCTCTTTGTCAGTTGTGTTATGTGTAGCAGACACACTCTTAGTTGTTGCATTAGTAGCAGGAATGTTCTCACTTTGTTCACTTAAAAAAAACAGAATTATTTTATATAATATGATATTAAAGTATGAACTAATTTATACAATGAAGAAGATAATTAGTTATTTTGTATAAAGCTTTTATACCTTATTGTTTGATTTGTCTCTGGTGGTCTTGATTTTGACATAACAAATTTCACTCGAACCTTTTTTTTTTCACTAAAATTTTAAGAATTACCTAATAAGTTTGGTATATATATACAATGTACAATAATTGAATGTAAAAACAATTATTTTATACATATAAACTTACTTGTTTAAAGTGTATCTTTCATAACTATTACCATATTCATTTTGTTGTATAACCTTCTTTAGAGTTAATGGTTCAGATTTCCCATCTCTAAATTGAAGCAAGTGTATCACTCTAAATGGCACATCACTACATTATAAATTAATTACATGACATTAGTTTGAATGCATATCACTGAAATGATTATTATCATATTTATATATGTGCATGATGATTTAATGAAATGTATATTTGTTATTTAAATCTCAATGACTACTCAAATGAACAAATATACATATATGATCATAATTATATCTATAAATGAACATTATGAGTATCAAATATGATCATATACAATGATGTTTCAATGAAATGTACTTTTGTTTTTAAATCTCAATAAATACTCATATGAACAAATATAAATATATGATCATAACTATATCTATAAATGAACATTATGAGTATCAAATATGATCATATACAAATAACATATTAAACAAAGATAAAACCAATTTTATCAAATACAACTAGCATATTAGACATGAACATAATATATTCTGTAAATGACTAATTACCTTGGTAGTGGAGACATTGTTAAATCCGTACCAATTGACTTGTCAATATCTTTTAAAAGTTCCGGATCTACAATTGGATCATTTTGGCGGTTTTTTTTCAATTTGTCTACTCTTGACTGAAGAGGTACATCATCATCATCGTCTCTGTTTTATTTAATAAATTGTTAATGTTTTAGTTATTTTCAGTAAAATCTTAGAACAATTACTACAATCGCAAAAAATTTTAACAAAAATTAGGTTTTACAAAAGTTAGGGTTCATACATTTCTTCAGAAATTTTCAACAAATTACTCGTCTGTGAAGTATTTTTCTCCAAAATCATACTACAATTGCAAAAAATTGAACAAAAATTAGGTTTCACACATAAAATCGCACTATAATTGTCATCGCAAGAATATGAACAAAATTACTTACTCTTTGGTAACATTTTGCTCTGATTTTCCAGTTTTATCTTCCATGTTCTTCTCTAAAGCGTTTTTTTTTGCAAAATCACTCTACAATCACAAGGAAAAGAACCAAAATTATGCTTCATACAAAAATTGTACTAAAATCGTAATCAAATGAACAAAATTACTTACTCTTTATCAAAATGCTGCTGCGATTGTTTAATTTCATCTCGAATATCAGACATTTGAAGTAATTATGAAGTGTTTTGAAGCAATTTTGCAATAATTTGAAGAGAATTTCGTTCCGATTCGACGGTGTTGATGAGAGAGAAATTCTACAAAAATGAAGAAGATGGTTTTTAGAGAGAGAATAATTTGATATGGATAGTTTTTTTTTTTTACTGTGGTTAGTGGGGGTAGTTACTGTAGTTTGTGGGGGTAGGGGAAAAACGCAAAACGCTGCGTTTTGTAGGGGGTGTAGGTTATGGTACCTACACTAGGGTCTAGTGTATACTAATTACTTTTCGAGAGTTGAACATTGTTTTAGGCTTGAGTTGAATTATTTGGACTTGGCCCAATTAGTTGGACTGAATTGGACCCAAACAACAACAATAAACTCCGTTTGCCCAAAATGAAACAATCTTTAAATCAGCCCAAAATAAACTTAAATTTCTAATTTTTCACTTATATTAAATCAAGCAGTTAAGTTAACCTTTTATACCAAGTTGCAATCCATTTAATTTTTTTTAATAAAAAAAGTTCTGATAATTTAAATAATTATTTATTTATATTTTTAAAAATTCTGATAATTTTTTTAAAAAAACCCTTCCATTCCCCACCACTTTCAGCCCTCCCTCCCCACCAGCCACCCCTCCACTGTTGGCAGCCGGCGCCTGACCCGTTCCTCGGCTCCGGCGACCTTCCTCTCTTTCCCCCACCCTCCATGAAACCACTCAACGCCCCATAAAAATAACCCCCCCCCCCACACTACCTAAACTACCCATCACCCTCTAAAACCACCACATCCACCACGAAAATCACCAGAAAAATCTTAATTATCTCCATAAACACCCCTAACCACCCTCATAACAACCCATAAACACCCAAACAAGACTAGATCTAACAACAATTACTCATAAAAACAACCACAAAACTAGATCTAACAACACTTACTCAAAAATAAAAGAAAAAGTGATAAAGAGAAGAGTTATGGTAGTAGTAGGCGGTTAGCGGTTGGCGGTCCGGTGGGAGGGGCGACGACGGTAGGTGGTGAAGAGGGCGGTGGAAAAAGTAGTGGTGGTAGGGTGAAGGGGTAGATTGAAGTGATGGTGGTTGTTAGGGTGATTCCCTTTCTTAAATATAAAACAAACAACAACCACCACTTGTCGGTTGAAGTGGTGGTGATTGTTGGGAGTCGGCCGCCGACAGGAGGAGGGAGGAGGGAGTGGCTGGCAGCAGTGGGGTGGGGGGAGGAGGGGCTGGCAGTGGGGTTGGGGGAGGTTTGAGTTTTTTTTTTTTTTTTTAATTTAATTTATTTTATTTTGTTAATTTAAAAAAAGGAAAAATTGCAAGGAAGATCCTTTTAATTGGTCGACCTTGTGAGAAAGGTCCTTTTAAAAAAAAAACGTGGCACAGAAGGTCCTTTTATGGCGTTTTGGTTGAGAGGAGGGTTCTTTGACCAAACTCCGGCGTTGACCTTGATATTCCGGCCATAAAATGTCACGTGCCGGGCACGTGACCTCTTAAATTAAATTTATTTATTTATTTATTTATTTTCTTTTTTTCCTTTTCCCTCTTCTTCCTCGATTTCCCCTTTCCCCTACAATTTCCCTCCCTTATTAACCTGGGCTCTACCAGGATATTCAACTTGCATTGTACTTGTGTTGGTTTTGCACTCATTAATCTGATCTCATTCCTTCTTTTAGTACTTATTCTTGTAGTGCTATGGGTGTAATTTAGTGATTACTTTGTTGTTTGACCAACCTAGAGAAGGTATCTCAATCAAGGCTCAAGCAGAATCAAAAGGCTATTATGAGGAAACAACTACTGATTCATTCAGATTGTATCAATTACGAGGACGTCTTCCAGACACAACCTTAAATTCACATCGATCTTAGGGTGGAGGTCGAGTCAGCTAGTGCCACTATCACGCTTCTTCCAGGTTAAAGATTTGCCCAAGGGTAAGCACCTGTCGCGGCTTCGATCTGGTCTCCCTTTGCTCAAGGGTAAGCACCTTACCCTTGTTCCTTCAATTGTAGTTTCTGGGTTAAGAATTGAAGTTTTCTTCTCAAATTAGGGTTAATAAGGGAGGGAAATTGTAGGAGAAAGGGGAAATCGAGGAAGAAGAGGGAAAGGGAAAAAAATAAAAAAAAATTGATTTAAGAGGTCACGTGCCCGGCACGTGACATTTTATGGCCGGAATATCAAGGTCAACGCCGAAATTTGGTCAAAGGACCCTCCTCACAACCAAAACAAACTTAGGTGTTTACAAACTTAGGTTTATTTTGAGCAGATTTAAAGGTTGGTTCATTTTGGGAGAACGGGGCAAGGGTTGGTTTGTTGTTGTTAAATTTTCCAATTTTTTTTACGCAACTCGTTTTTATAGAATTAAAATTATGTGAACTAAAATTATTTTTACTAATTTTTAATGAACTGAAATTATTTTTGTTGAATTGAATTTGGATAAGGACTTGTACTTCTTTGGATTTTTAAAGAGTACACTTTTCTTAATAAGTTGTGTTTTTAAAGCAACCCCAACCGTAGTTTACCAATCTATAATATATAACTAATACTAAAATAACAATCGCTGATATCATCTTTTTCCCAAGTTATACATGTGTCACTATTTTATAAAAAAAAATTCCGCCGAAATGCAATGATGACATCACTTCTTTTTTTTTTTAAATTTGTGATAAATCTGATTACACTTTAATCCAAAAAAAAAACTTAATTCCCAATAAACTCTTTCATATTCTCTTGGTTGTTGCTTTGTTGAATGTTAATTTTCTCTTTCTCTCCGATCTTTAATCAACCTCACCGATTTTCTTAGTATCATTGTTCCTCTTCAAAGTTAAGGAGTACCAACGCTTCTTCTCTTTCTCCAATTTTCTTTCTCGTGATGAAAAAATTGACATGACTTCACCTTTCTTTTTAAAATTTTCTCATCAATTAGATACTCTCTCGTTTCATAATAATTGCAGCAGTAGGGTTGACATGAAGTTTTAGAAAAATTATTGATGGGGAACAAAAAGAGAATTTTTTAATATAAAGTATAATAGTTGGGATATATCTAAGGGTAATGATATGTGTAGCCTTTAGGGCTATATATAAGCATTAAATATACTTCCTAAAATGGAATTAAGTTGGGAATTCATGGTAACATTACGCGCAAATCGGTGTAATTAATGTTAATTTATCCTCAATATTTCCCTTTTTAGCTTCTTATACATAGCCTTAAGGGTTATGTTTATCATTTTTGATAAATCCAAAAAGGTAGGGTTACCATTTCAATGTCACAATATGAAGGCTACCATTGAGAATTTTGTGCAAGTGGGGTTGGTAGGGGAAAGAAATAATAAAATAGTTATGGGTCCTTACCAAATAAGAAAGTGTTACAATTATTATGAAACGGATGTAAAAGGAAATATTACGGTTATTATGAAATGGAGTAACTTTTATAACTGTTATATTGAGTTGCTGATTCCTAGATTTTGTTGGTGAGATATTGTTGTATAATTTTGTGAACATGGGTTAAGATTCTCTTGATTTAGGATTTTAATTTTTAGTTGAGGTGAGTGAAGCGGTATACGAATTGAGACTTTATTCTATCGTTCTCCATGGCCAAGCCTAGAAGAGAGAAGTAAACAAAGTAGATATTTTTACCCAAAAAATAAATTAAAAAGTAATTTTATCACTTTTATGGCTTTAATATGGTGGTCGATGGAAAGGAAATTAATTTCGAATTCTGCTTCTTTAATAATTCAAGGTCACCATGAAGATTTTCTTTGTTTTTTCATCTCTAATGACTAATATCATATTTGTGTGGATTGCTATCGTTATTAGTTATGATTTTTTTTCTTGATTTTTTATTTTATCTATTCCGCATTTCGATTTTGTTGATAAATTTTTTTGCAAATAACTTAAAATTCCAAGCATTTGCTTAGGGATTATCTAGTTACTCTAATAAAGTTCACCCCATTTATACGGTATAAATATTTAACACATAGGCCAACCAGGTTATGGTATGTGGTCGACTAAGCATGTACCTTTTTTTTTCAATTGCATTTTAAGAAAAAAAATCGATGATGAAGTAAAAAATTCAAAAAAATGTCATTGTTTATATTATTTTTCGAGATCTACGCATAAACTTGACTATACTTTTTAATTTATACAAGCTCGGAAGTGCACGCAATGCGTGCACGATTTTCAAGGTGGCAAATTCATATAATTTACATTTTGTTAGAGTTTAATTAAGTAATTTTCAACATATAAATTATATTATACGTAACAAAGTAAATGTTGAGCTGAAATTCCCCTTGGGTCATCCAGGCTCGAAACTAAAAGTTTAATTGCTTCAACCAATATGTTAAGCATAGCAAATCATTTTACTTAAAACCTTCTATTTGAAATTTAAAAAATAAAAATTTTAAAAAATAAATAAAATAATTAAAAACCCTTCTACTTGGAAGTTTTTATTTTAAGAATATTGTCAAGGACTTCAAACGTTAGGTTCTTAGAAAATTGAAGTAATAAATAAAAGTTGAAATAAAAGAAAGGTTGTCACCCTCATTCAGGGTAAAAAGTATAATTAGTCCTAAAAAAGGAGTTTAAGTATAACTAATAAGCTTGATAACACCATTTTGAGTAATAATTTTTATCTACAAAAAAAAAAGGAGTTTAATCATAGTACATCTTATTTTTTTTAAAAAAAAGTAATCATACAGTACAACACAAATCCAACAATTTAATCTTATTAATTAACGTTAAGATTTGAGGCAAGATATACTCCTTGCTTTTTTTGATGAAAGAGATACACCATTGACTCCAAACAATCATAAATACTTCAATTAACGTTAAGGTTTGGCAACATAAAAGCTAGTCATTGCATAATCCCAAGATATTAAATCCTTCAATAATCAATGCGTTAATCAGCAATTCATTCACTTACCAAACAATATTAGGTATGGTTAGTAGCATCACTAAAAATATTCTTAAACAATTATAATGATCTCATCACAATTTTACAAAGAAATCTATAGCCATAATAAAATGGAAATTTATCTAATTAAAAAGATGTTGTTTACATGTGCATGTAAATCCACCAACATATACCAATGAGCGAATTGATTCCATTTATGATCATATATAATTTTAACCTGTATTTATAAATTCAGAGATAAGAACACATATTACATTAGTAATAGAGATATATAGAAAAACAATAGTTAAAATTAAATAATTATATAGATTAAACAAAACAACTTTTTTTCATAGGAACAAAGTACAATATATATTTTTGAAATTATGTACTCATAATCAAATTATATATAAAAAAACTAATAATTAAGCATACCCTATATTAAAGAAGGACTAAACACATACATTACCCACAATCAAATGCAACAAACTTCTCGAAGTTAAGATTTGGTAGAAACTCATTGTTATTCAATATACTAAGAGAAAAAAATAATCGTTAACAAACACCGAAAGGGAGTAGAAAAAAGTAAAATAAACGAACAACTTAAATTCCATGTAGATAGAAACTTGAAGTAAAATAATTTTCATTAAGCATTTCATTAAATAAGAAATTAAAATGATTTTAGATTTGTATTGTTATTTTCAAGATATATACAGACAATAAATGTAAATTTACCTTGTAAGTATTGTTATGTATTTGATAGAGGAGAGATTGAGTCACCCAAATTGATGCAATTGTAAACAAATTTTTTTGTTTTTTTTAGTTTTTTATTTGACGGTAGTATGAGAAAGTAAAGAATAGTTTTATCAAACTTTTTGGTAGTTATTGTGTATAATTTGTTTTTGGTAGTTTTTTTTTTTTTTTTTTTTTTTTTTTTTTTTAATACCACGTTAAACTGTTTAAAGATTGTTGGCAGTTTTTTTTTTTTTTTTTCATTTTTTACTTTTAAAAAGATTATATTTTTGTAGTAAATAAGTATTTTAATAAAGGTTATTTTTGGAAAGGGAAAATTCCCAACCAAAAAAGGGTGTTCCCTTTAAAAAGTAACATAGATATATTTTCATTATTTCACATATTTTTCAAGTTCACTTTTTTCTATCTAAATCACTCCCTATATCTTTTTATATCTACATCACTTAGACTTATACACTATTCACATTTTTTTTTTACTTTATATTGTTACTATTATAAAACGAATAAATGTGAGTATATAATTGGATTATTTACAACGTCTAATGGCTTCCTTGTACCTTCAAGTGAGTATTGTAAGTAACAACCGTTGACATTATCCCTTTTTTCAAATTGTACACGTGTCAGCTTATCTTTCATTTTTTTCCCGCCTAAACTTTTTTCCACTTTCATATTTCTTTTAAAAAAATCTAAATACTGATTGCAATGTAGTTTAATATAGTACATTAAACTTTTTAGTTTTCATTACCTTTTCTTTAAAAAACCTTTTTAAAATCTTAAGGAAAATAAATATCAACCTTTTATGTATGTGATTACTCCATCTAATTACAAAGTTCGCTAAGTTTTATTGTAGATGTGAATTTTCTTTTGTTTATATGATTTTAATTTTTGTAGTTTGGTTAATGTTAATAATATCGTATGTAATACAAAGATTTTACATACTTTGATTGATACGTCTTTGAAGTTTACGCAATTATAAATTCTTT